GGGCTGCTCTTCTGTGATTGAATAATGGGATTTCACCGTCACTCTTATAGAGCACCCACAGCCCCAAACTTCGGACTGTGGTCTTGCGACAACGAGTCGCGAACCATGAATCCGCCGATTCACAGTCTGGGTACGCTATTTCCTAAGCCATGCCTGGCCTGTTGCGTGTGTTCTCTCATTATTAACAATAGGTATATATAAACAGAACTAAACAGATAAAATAATATATGAATTATTAGACTCAAATTAAGTAATAGATATTTAATCTGTAAAATTGTCTTAATAATTCACTAACCATTATGCCCATCGGACCACCTCTTGAAATCTCTTTGTAACGTCGAATGACAAACACTAAAAAGGAAACCTGAAAGACAAAACAAATGGAATTTTTATCACATTTACAACAGATTTTACGTTATTTTAATACGTTATTGTTACATCTGAGATATCGTAAAAACGTTCTTAATTTTTCATCCTCTTTACAACGGCATTAATAGATGAAAGTGTACCTGATGATAAATGCGCGAAACATCATTCTAAGCATGCATCTGTCGTTTGTTTATAGTATTATTTGTTTGTTTCCTTTGATGAATTTCGCGCAAAGCTACTTAAGGGCTATCTGCACTAGCCGTTCCTAATTTTAAAGTGATAGACTAGAGGGAAAAGCAGCTAGTCAACATCACCCACCGCCAACTCTTGAATTACTCTTTCACCGACGCATAGTGGAATTGACCATCACATTATAACTTCCTGAAGGTTGAAAAGGCGACCATGTTTGGTGACGGAATTCGTATCCACGACCCGCATATTGTGAGCGCCTTAACCACCAGGCCATACTATGGCCTCACTTTCTTTTATGGAATTCGCGTCTTGCATACACCAAAGGGTCTGAATAGTTATACACTCGAAAATACCTCACTCAATCAATTGATTCATTTTGTAGACTAGAAATAGACTCACTAGACGTGTCACATAAGGCTGTATATTTCGCATTTTAGCTCTTGTATTCAAAATATTTATGTGAATGTTTGATAAACATATTCTTAATAATAGTGCTATTATTCAGCGTACAGATTACGTCTGTTAGTCTAACAATTTAAATATTTATAATGTAAACACTGTTAACGTAAGTATTGTTGATGTTTAAATTGTACAAAGTTACAATGTTTCCACATCAACATTGTTAATAAATCTATCATGGATACATAAGCCTAAAATATTGCAAGGCAAAAATGTTTTTTTTTCATAATAATTTGAAGTACACTAAAACATCCTAATAAACCAAAGTAAGCATAATTATGTGTAATAACTAAATATCTAATTACCACATAAATAGCAGTGACATTATATAATGGCACATCACACAAGAGTACGGTTTTTTTCTTCTTGTTTTGTTCATTTCGGATTGCAAGTTAGAGGTGCATAAAAACAATTTTCTGGTACTCAACAAAGGTTTTTTTTTCATTTTTTAACTTAGTTTTAAGATACACGTTTCAACTAAATTGTTGACAGGCCTGTTATTGTTGAAAGCTTAGTTGAGATTTGTAATGGACTAAAAAATAAATTCTAGAAAACGTTTTTACTTTATGATCTAATTGTTTGTCATATTTTTTTTAGGCCTAACGACCTTTCTCGGACAGAAAACTTGCACAACAACCGTGAACTAACTGTCAGTGACTTTTTCAAGAACGTAGTTTGTTCGTATCTTAGTTTGTTGATGTATCTCATTGGTGAATATACTGTTGAAACATATTCTGGTTCTTTTGGATTACTTGGTCAAAATAATGCAAAATTCAGTCTACGTAACAATAACGAATTAATTCATTTATTCAATAACGTTTGTGAAGTTAGTAAATTTGTATTATTTCAGTTGTCCTTTCAACATGCGTTTATGCTCTAGTATTGTATCATGGTACATGATGGAAGGCGTGGCTATATTATAGCCGTCCGTACATAATAAATGCTTCATATAGACTTTAGAGATATAAGTTAAGGTTATATCTTATGGGTGCTGTGTACCACGGGTGGCTCACGACGTCCAACAAAAAACACGCAGGGGGCGCACGAGATCGTGAAGGTGTTATAGTAAAGTAATGGTATTTATAATAGTGTACAGAGTATGGAACAATTATGATAATTCTTTGTATGAGACGGTTTTACGAGTTGAAAAACGAAAACTAAACCTGTAGCAAAGAAAAAAGTAGCTAAAGAGTGTTTATAGCAGTCTATAAAACGAACCAAGCCAAATTCTTGCAAAGTAAAGTAAATGCAAGGTTGTAATGAAGGCAAACTAGGCTGAATATGCAGAAACGTCTGAATGCGCGTTCACAAAGTGATAAGGATATGGTTTTGAATGAACTGCGCATGCGTATTTTAGACCTAAATAAGTCGAGAAAGCCCATAGAAATTGTATTTAGTGTAATGCTCATTTTTTAAGGACATTACAATCGGATTAAGTGTTGTTTGTGAGAAATACTTTATAAATAAAAAAAACTAAATTTAAAATCGAAGCCAGTCGTCACGTGATAACAACGACACTGTGCCATCGTGTACCATACTCTTTGCATTAGAAAGTTTGAAAAAGCGAGAAACAGGTAAGGTTATTCTGAATGGAGAAAAAACCAATATGCAATCCGAACTCCTCGAACAAAGGCCTTTCTAATGATATGAAACTTGTAGCGTTTGATCGAAAAATTTGCGAGAAAAGCGTATTGTTTATACACATTCCAAATATTGTAAATTTTGTTATCTTTATTTTATTTATTTAGTCCTTTCGAAAAACTGTGTTCTAGAAAATTCCATTTTGATATTATACATCACGACTTACGTGAACACACCAAAAAATTATTCCTCCTCGGCCATAGTAAAGACACAGAAATATCCATGCAGACCATCGTTCGATTAAATGAGAGTAACCTTCTGTTCCCTATAACGAAAAAAATAAATCTATAAGAATTACAAACACTTCTTCAATTGTTGTTTGGTTATTAAGTTTGTTTTTAATCAAGCACAAAGCTACACAATATGCTATCTGTGTATCGAAACCCGGATTCTAGTGTAAGTCCACAGACACACCGCTGTGCCACTGGGGGGCTGGTTATTAAGAGTCGTCATACAATATAATGTTGTTGTTGTTTTTTGTTTTTTTTTCACTTTAAAGTATGGGAGCCGTACAAGTGATATTTATTGAGTATAAGTATTAATAATTTTTAATAAAAGTAATAAAAAATATATATCTTCCGGAAACCTCGTAGAAAATTACTAAACAATATTAGGTTAAAAAATTTAGATATGTAACAACATGAGCGTACATAAAAAAAAATACATATATAGAAGTAAACAAAAATAATAAATATAAAAATACTTTAAAATAACCCTGCCTACTACTTAAAGTATATAATTCAAAATTATATTAACAACCTCATTACTTCGTTTTAAGAACAAAAATCTATTTTTTTTTTTCAGGTACATTGTGCTATTAAATTGATAGCCCCCCAGTGGCACAGCGGTATGTCTGCGGACTTACAACGCTAGAAACCGGGTTTCGATACCCGTGGTGAGCAGAGCACAGATAGCCCTTGTGTAGCTTTGTGCATGATTAAAAACAAACAAACAAACAATTAAATTGATAATAAAAAACAAAAACAACGTTTTTGGCACAATTAAAAATAAAATCTTCCTTAGATATTTCATCTGACTAGTTTCGTTAACACAGTTACTATCATTATCCCCGATTATGGTAACTGTGTTAACGAAACTAGTCGGCTTAAATTTCTGAGGAAGATTTTACCTTTCATTGTGCCAAAAAACGTCGTTTTTATTATCTACTTTTAATAAAAATCTTTTTATCCTGGAATTATCAACATTTACTGTTAATTAATAATGTTTTTAATGTAAATTTTATCAGTTCCAATTACTGTAACCAATGTTTATAACAATCAATTAACTTTAACAAAAGCCACCTCTGAAATTTGCAAACATAAGTCATATTTAAGTTATCACGTGCAGCTCACAAGCTATTAAACTCATTTATTTATGCTTATTATTTAAGTGTTAATAATGAAATAAACAAAACAAACTTTCGATTTTTAAGTTCGTAATATTTTGAAACAGAATTAATAAGATATATATGATTATCAGCCTCTAAGTATACAAGAATAGTCCAGTGACTTACCAGGATTTGACCTAATCGGTAGGAATAATAAAAGTTGCAACCAAGGTCAAACAAAACCACTACCAATGCTACAATTATCCAAGGTATCAGTAAAAATCTGTTGCCAGTCTTCTTAAACTAAAGCAAAAGATGTCATAAAATTAATTCGCGGTTAAAGTATTTAAAATATATATATATTAAAATGCTATAAAAAAAGTCCTTTCTTCAAAATTAAATATATATATATATATATATATCCTTTAAATAAAAGAAGGGAACTTTCAGTGGTACTGTTATATTTTCTATAAATATTTTATTCAATGTTTTAACTTGGCCATTAATCAGAATAAGAAAACATTCAACGAAACTGATGAACACCAGTTTAAAAATTAGGTAAGAAATTTTGTAAGCAGCGTGAAACATGTAACATCATTTTTACGTTTTATTTTTTTACTTGAGTTAATAAATAGTCTGCATCTTAAAATTAACAGTGTTACTACATCTTTTTTTAACGTTAGTTATGGTTTTGATAAATTACATATGTCGAACTTTCTCTTTGGGTACTTCCACTTCTACAACTTTCTGAGAGTTTTTCGTTTTTCCATGATAGATATTTCGGTTTACATTTCTCCACCTTAATTCGAGTTATGTTTGAAAAAATGACCAACGCTGCTCAGAAAATTGAACTTATTTTCATCCCGCTCGCATGGCCAGGTGGTTAGGGGGCGCTCGACTCGCAATCAGAGGGTCGCGGGTTCGAATCCCCCTCCCACCAAACATGCTCGCCCTTTTAGCCGTGGGGGCGTTATAATGTGACGGTTAATCCCACTATTCGTTGGTAAAAGAGTAGCCCAAGAGTTGGCGGTGGGTGGTGATGACTAGCTGCCTTCCCTCTAGTCTTACACTGCTAAATTAGGGAAGGCTAGCGCAGATAGCCCTCGTGTAGCTTTGCGCGAAATTCAAAACAAACCAAACCATCCCGCTCGCGATTTTTTCATCTGGCCAATTGAATTAGGTTAGATGCCCTGGCTTATTATTAGAGAATTGAAAAAAGAAAAAGGAATTATCTTCTCATTGTCACAAAACTGTCCGTGTCAAACTTATGGTCCTTCAAGGAAATCCTATGCCCGAGAATTAATCGTGGAGGGAGACAAGAGTACCCCGAGAAAACTCTCACTTATCAGGCGCCGAATACTCTACCTGACCAGTTTCTAAGGGATTGTGTTCACGTCCATATCAGGAAGTCCACTGGAATGTGGCAGTCTTTCTGGCGTCAGCGTGGATTGATTTAGCGCCACCACATATAAAAAGTAAACTACAAGCCATACAAAATGCCATACTCACAAAAGCTTTCATAGTACCAAAATCAACATCATCAGCCTTCCTAGATAAATACAAAAATTTTATACCTATGCCTAACAGACTCCTACATATTCGATGACGAGGAACCCACTTTGAGACTAATAATGGCTGGAGACGGCTTAAATGGGTAATG